TCATTCTCTTACCAGTTAATTACAGAGGTTTCCAAGCATTTATTTCTTACCTTGGAGAGTAACTGGTAACACATCAAAGTGAGGCAAAGGTGCATCCAAGTGTACTAGAGCATTGCTCTGTTACCCCCTCCTCCGTACTTGGGCTTGAACTCAGGAACTTGTGCTTTCAAGGCAGGTAGGCTACCACTAGGCTAAATCCCCAGCCCTCTCTTTCCCTTCTTTATACACACTAATCATACAAGCAATTGATTAACACCTTGTTATACTGTGAGAGTAAACCTAAAATGCTGTGGGACTGGTAAATTCCCCTCGAGTGCTAGCAGTTAGGCTCTCAAGCTCAGAAATATTTGTGTGCCTGCTTTTAAGTAAATGGTTTCTCGGTGTAGTCACCAAGGACACTCTTTTTCTTGTCTTCATACTTAAGTATACACTTTTATTTGTGATTTATTGTTTATTTTCTGGAGAACTGAAATTTTCAGGTTAATGGCCATTTGAATTTTTTGTCATTCTCTGAAATATCTTGCATTTTATGGTGAATTGTTCCACAGACATTTTCATGAAACTGTCACACTTCCATGCTGTGAAGTTAGGGTACTGATGTGAGAAACTTGTGTTGCTGGGAAAAGAACATAAATTAGCATTGGGAGCTTTGAGCATGTGACCAAGATAGAATGAATGCCACTTTTACCTAATTACACAAGACCCTGATTGTGGAGGCAAAGCCTAGTTTAAAAGATACCTGAATAAAATACGGACTTCCCTTACTGTCAACTTTTCTGAGAGGGAGAGAGATCCATCCTTTCTTACATCCTGCATGAAACTGAAAGATCATGAATTGCCAGCTAAGAATGCACATTAATCAGAGTGTCACCAGCAGCCATAAATTTTGACCCACTAAGTAGACTCAAGAAAGTAAATGAGTCATTTGTCCCAGAGCAAAGCTCCTGCAAGATGCATGTTGCAAACCAACTAGGTAAATGTCTCTTCCTATTCACAGGCTGAAGGCCTTTGTGACAGATAGATTTGTTGCTGCTTCAGAGATGTCAGCAGTTCTGTTTTACTTTGACATACGTTTACTGTAGTTATGGAGAATTTCTGTTGCCTCACATAATTTTAAGTACTCTTTTGGTATCACTTTTTTTATACTGCTGTTGCTTTTTACTCCTACATCTTTCCTTTGCATCCCACAGACTCAATTCTTTATTTTTTGTGCCAAAAGATACATCACATAAAATTTATTGTTTTTTAAGTGTACAGTTCAGGGGCATTAAGTGTATTTATGACTCACCAAAACATTTTTTTTTTACCAAACAGGGCCCTCCCCAGGCCCTTTCAATATCGGTCCTTCTTCGTGTGTCCATAAATTTGCCTATTGTAGGCACCTCTTATATAATAAATTCGTGCAATGTTCATCCCTTTGTAACTGGTTTATTTCACTTAGCATAGTGTCTTTAAGGTTCATCCATGGTTTTGTTTGTTTGTTTTGTTTTTTGAGACAGGGTCTCACTATGTAGTTGAGACTGACCTGGAACTAACTATGTAGCCCAGGCTGGTCTCGAATTTACAGCGATCCTCCTGCCTCAGCTTCCTGAGTGCTGGGATTACAGGCATGTGCCACCACACCCAGCTTAAGGTTCATCCATGTTACAATGTATGTTAGAATGACCTTCCTTTCTAAAGCTGAATAATAGTTATATGTACATATATATGTCGCATTTTATCAATTACTAATCTATGAACATCTGCATTATTTCCACTTTTTGACTACTGTTAATAATTCTGCTGTGAAGTTGGTATAAATATTGAAACTGCCTTTACAAGGAAGAAGGACTGAGTTTAGAACTGGTTGTGGAGATGGGAAGATGAAAAATGGATCTGAGCAAGGAGATGAAGGGAAAAAAAGATTAAAAGAAAGGGAAGACAGACAAAAAACTGAGATATTAAAAGCAAGAGAATCCAGAGTTAAAATTAAAGCACTTTTCAAAATCAACAGAGACATTTGCTACTGTTTCAGTTTTTTTTTGGGGGGGTGTACCTGGGATTGAACTCGGGTCTTTGCGCTTGCAAGGCAGGCCACCAAACCACTGAGCTAAATCCCCGGCCCCTGTTTCAGTATTTTTAAGAATAGATCATAGTATGTATAACTTCACCTTTGAAGCGTTTTTTAACTTTCACTTTTAAAGATAGGCTTTCTCAAAACAGGTGTGATAAATTATCTTTTTGCTCTTTAACAACCATTGCAACAACCATTGTGATTTTTTGAGCAGTCAGGTACTTTAGGTAGCGAACTTTTAACCTGTCACTTTCTGATATGAAATAATAAGCTGTATCTAAATATATAGTATTAATATATATAATTTCCCCATTAAAATCTCAATGACTCACAAGTTACTTTATTTGCAAAGATTTCATCTTCCCTTTCTTTACATTGTATGTTCCCAAGTACGTATCACTGAGAGCATGTTTTGATCCTACTAGGACTCAGAAGTTAATTTGGGTCCAAATCTTGATAATGCAATAATAATTGAGTTCTTGTGGCCTGAGTGAATTTATATACCTATTTAATAACTTCTTAAAAAGCATCTTACTTACTCCCCTTCTTCAGGAAAAAAGACATTGGCTGGAAAGTATATAAAAAAGTACTTACAGTTAGTAGATGTGACCCTAACCTGCCTTGTTCATAGCACTTTTTTTCCATTTTGAAATACTTTACAAATAAAAAGACAGATATAATGTATCCAATTCATGGTTACTACAATCACAGTTATTAACAACAAAGAATATATTATAATTTTTATATTTTATAATTAAAGAATGAAAATGTTTCAGGAATGACAGTGTTTTACTTATGCTGTCATTAAAGAGTTTCTGAATCACATTTCCTAAACGAAAACAGAGCTACAGTTCCAACCATGGCATACTTAAAGGTGGGAATTTAAAACCACTCAACAGCCTACCCAGAGTGTCACTCTGGCGGCGTGTTTGTTTACATACTGACTGTGCCAAGTGTCACTCAGGCGGGTGTCATTTCAATCAGCTGATTCTTGCATTGAATAAATTTGATAAAATTGTCATTTTAATATTTCCTGTTATATTATCTTATGAAAATTAACAAAAAATATGCAATTTTTGGTCATCCTGAATTTAAATAATTGGACTGGTAAGTGGATAAATGTTCATCCCAGGAAACTTGATAAATTATTTGCTATTTTGTAGACTCATTTGGTTGAGCAAGAAGATTCCTATACATTTTTTTGTACCTTTTCAGCTGTGCAGAGGGAAAAATAGCCCAACTTGGTAATAAGTGGAGTGCGGCTAGAGTTAGCACTCAAATCCCAGTAAAATGAGTTAATTAAGGCAATAGTTTTAACTCTGATTGTATAAAACAATCCTGGGTATCAGCATTTTAAAAAAACTATCCAAAAAAACCCAAGTCAAAGTTGAACAGCACTGATTTAAGGAATATTGGAAAGAAAAATGAGATAGGAGAGTATTATGATGGTCCCAGTGAGAAATAAGACTTCAGTGAGGAAACTGGCAGTGAGCTAAACAGAGGTAGAAACAACCAGACTTCTTTCCCACACATGGAAGAAAAATGAAGCAAAGATACCATGGTAGGGGTAATGGTTATGCCTTTGAGATTGGGTGAGATTGCCATGGAAGAGAGCTATAGAAACCACTGGGGGATAGCTACATTTGTGGATAGAAAATTAAAAACAAAACAAAATGAAAACTGAGTTCAGTCTATTGACAGTGGTGTGAGAAGCTAAGGACTGATTATTTTCTGCTAAGATTCATCAATATCTCAAGAGCAATTAGGAACAAATACAGTGATATGAAATATTACAGAATTTCAAAAATATTTTCTCAAGTATGTTTATTAGCTGTCTTCAAAGCTATACTTTATAAAGATATTTTGAGATGCAAGAAAAGTAACCAGATTTATAAAACAAGACAGGGGGTCTAGTCCCAGCTCCACTCCTGGCCAACTGCCAAGGGTTAACTACTTAGCCCCAGCTCACTTTTACTGTGGTCAGTGGGGATGACAGCATGTCCCCTGCCTACTTGCAGGCACAGAGTTGTTATTACCATTTAAAAATGTGAAAATACCATGAGTATATATGTAACTATTCATGTAGTAGATTAGTGGTACACCTTTTGCTGCAGTTTCACATTACTATTGAGATATTTTGGATAATTTCTATACTTAACAAAGAGAGAAAATAAAACTATAAAGTCCTTCCTATGACTCCTCAAGGATCTCTCCATCCCACGGGGAACATGGGATAGGGAAACAAAAAATAATAAACACAAACTATCTGTAATATGGAAATTATATAACTAATGCATTTCTAATGCTTAACTCAGTTATTTGAACCTAGTAGTCTCCTAAAATGTTTTTAAAGTTGATGAAAAAATAACATACAAGATAAAAAGTCATAAATAAAATACTGTGGTACTTTTGAGAAAGGATTCAAATCTGGCATGTTAATAGTAAGAGATAGAGAAACAGAGGTATGATGAATTAATGAATAATGGTCAAGGGAGACATGTTATTGCCCAGAAAGCTACTTCAGTTTTTTTGTTTGTTTGGTACCGGGGATTGAACTCGGGCCCTTGTGCTTTCAAGGCAGGCGGTGGAACCATTGAGCTAAATCCCCAGCTGTTACTTCCCTTTATATGAAGAATAGCAAAAAGGGGTTGAAACCATATCAGATGCAAAATTTGGAGTCAGCAGCAAGGGAAAAATGATTTTTTAATTTAGAAGACTAAATTTCTGAAGGCTAAGACCGAACACCAGAGATGAGTCAGAGGAAATGCCCTCAGAAATGGTGACACACCCAAATAATCACTTGTACACTATACTGATTACGATTGCATCTTCCCAAGGGCAAAATAATTGCTTAATGTTCAGTGTTTTCCTGTAACAAGTGTGCTGCAGTGATTTACTTTAATTGTAGAAGTTAAAGGACGCTGACCATATCTTTTTCGGTCTTCAGGAATAGATAATCTCTATGAGAGGGCGCTTCACATCCGCAAACTCCTCTTGACCTTGCCCAGGTCAGTCCTGATAGTGATGAGATACCTCTTTGCCTTCCTCAATCAGTAAGTACCCAGTGCTCTGCCAAAATTCCCATCTAAATTCTGTGTTCTTGGGTCCTATAAAATGTACCTCGGGTTCCATCTATCAGATGAGTCAAAGGGGAAAAAATGATTGACTATAAACTGAAGGTAAATTTTTCTGCAGTATATCAAGGTCTTTGTATGATAGATGAAAGCCCTACCCCAGATACACAAATGTGGCTGGCCATGAATGCAAAAATATCCAAATACTGCCAATAAACAGTGCTTTCCAGTAAAATGTATGTTTTTCCAACTTCCATCCAAAGTTAATGTCATAAATGATACAAACCACTTTTTCATTGCAGAAAATTTCTGATTTTTACTGTTGTAGTTGGGATGGAAAGAAATCATAGATGGGACTTATACACAAATCCAAAAAAGAATTTCTGCAAATTTTGCACAATAAGACCTGTCAAAAAGAAAATATTTTTAAAATGTTATCTAAAATGATATATCAGAAATCTTAAAATGCACTGTATTTTTTTAAAAGAAAAACTTCACTGTTTTGGTTTAGGCACTTCGATTTTTTTAATTGTTTCTTCCTGATAATATGGTTTCCACAAATCCTACCTAAGAGTCTCCTTGCCATGCAACATTTCAGTTAGGCAGTTGGACATAGAGAAATTCAGGGAGAGCTAAATATTAAGTTTGGAGAAATGCCTTCTCATCTGGCATGGATTCTCCCTTCCTAAACTTAGGATATTTTCTCATCTCTGTTTCACTGGAGGTTTTACATACTCAAAACTCATGAAGATTTACTGTAACCCTGCAGACTAGTTCTGAAATCAGGTTGGCCGCAACAGCCAAGCATTATACAATGAAGAAATGCTGGCAGAAAACCAAGCAATAAGGGGCTCTGTTGTTCAACGTATGATTCCTAAAACATTCCCAAATGACAGTAGGAACCCATTTATACAGAAGTCATCACTAGAAATAAGCAATATCTAGAAAATGAGTATAAACTGCTTAGTTTACACAGATGCTATACATTTTTACCTTTAAATAAGTCTAGTTGCTCAGGCAGTTGTAAAATTCCAGGAGCTTGCCTTCTCCACTTTTAATTGCATGTGTTGTCCCCCCACAACCTCACTATGGTATGCCCTGTTTCTGCTGGCTCTCTCCATGCTGTTCTGACCAAGTTGTCCTAATACACCTGAGTGAATTCAGTGTGAACCAGTGAAACACAATGGATTAGAAAAGTGTTCTGTTAATAGCAAGTTCTCAAAACCTGAATATAATTCATTGGGAATTTCAACTAATGGCAAATGCACCACAAGTCAGACAGCTGGCATTGCTTTAATTGGTTCTGCTCAAAAACATACCCTGGCTGCCCCCACCTGCCTTCATACAGGGACATAGGCCTAGAAACTATGTCAGGAGCTTGAACAGGAAATTAGAAAAGAGAGATTAGGGCTAGGGATGTAGCTCAGCAGTAGAGCATTTGCCTACCATGTGGAAGGCCCTGAATTCAATTTCTAGCACTGGAGAGAGGAAGAGGGAGTAATTTCGCTGTTTTTTTATTATAAAATCAAAACTTAGAAATAATATTTTTAATTCAGAGTTTTTCTCTTCAAGCCAGCACTGAATGAATGACCTAGAAACATTAAGTGGGAGTCGCTCCCTGCTGAGCTCGTGTGCCTTTTGAGAACTGGATCATTCTTACTCTGAATCTCACTGTCCCTCCTCCCATTTTCAGATCATCTGTAACATGATCATTTGCTATCATGAACGTTTTGTAAGACTGCATGTTTGAGAAATGGCAGAAGGGGAAAACATATGTTAGCTATGGAAATTATGCTTTTGTATTTTCTGCTTTCTAGACTATCTTATTTCTGAAAAAGGGTTAATTATCAAGCCAGGTGGTGTCTCGGTTTCTTTGTGTCTATCAACACCTTACAAAGGTAGTCGAGTCTCCTTTTTTTACTTCCATTTGTCATCTGTTCACCTGGATTTTACATTTCCTTTCAAGAGTGATATTCTATACACTGAGAGATAACATTTCTAAACTCTCCCTAGAATAGTATGTCCATGTGTTAGGAGCATTGCAATGAAGAACTGGCTTATTTTGAGTGGCCTGTAAAAATATTTCATAAATGTCCCTTAGATTGTGTTTAGAAATTAGTAGTGTAGATAAGTAGAAATCTCCCCAAAAGTTTGCCTGCCTTAAATAGAATGAAATAATTGAGGGTTCTCCACTCCATTTCTTGCACTTTGAATGTCTTTTGATGTCTCCTAGTATTGGTGGATTTACCCCAAACAGATTATAAACCCTGGAATTGTTATTCATTCTCTTTTAGTAGTGAAAAAGAAAATGAACTTTTTCTTTTAACCTTTCCTCATGGCTTAATGGAGAAAACTAAAATCTAAGATATTTTTTAGTGGTGGGAGGGCAAATTTAAAGACATCCATAAAGCTCTATGGAAATCATACTGTCTTTCTCAAATTTACAGTCTGACCATAAAATTTACCAATGGACCCTGTTCTCCACTGTTGTGGCTATTGGATAAACTCTCTCATGACTTTGAAAAGTGCCACTTAAGCAAAGCACTCCTAAATGCCCCTCTGTTTCTACCAAGTTGAGGATCATAAGTCATTTTACTTCCTTTGGAGAGTTATCTTTAAGTAAGATAGAACCAGGAGTACCTGGACCCGTACAGGTCTGTGGCCTGTTAGGAACTAGGACACACTGCAGGACTGAGTGATGGGGAGCAAGCAAAGCTTCACCTGTATTTACATCACCTCCCAATGGCTCCCATTACAGCCTAAATTCTGCCCCTATCAGACGAGCAGCCATGTGAAATTCTCATAGGAACGTCCGTGAACCCTGCTGTAAACTCTGCATGCCAGGGATCCAGGCTGTCTGCTTTCTTTTTTTCATTCCAAACCTCCTTACCCTACACATTTGTGGAAAAGTGAAACTGCCAAAGATTTGGGGGACTGCCAAGATACAGTATAATTTTATCCTAATAATGAAAACCCTGTTTTCAGAATATGAAATAAATGTCTTATCAAATATGTTTTCTTTTTTGTGTTTTGTTTTTGTACAACTTCTTTCCTGCTTTCTTTTAAAGTCTTTCCCAATACAGCGATGAGAACATGATGGATCCTTACAACCTGGCCATTTGCTTTGGCCCAACACTGATGCCTGTCCCGGAAATACAGGACCAGGTGTCTTGCCAGGCACATGTGAACGAAATTGTCAAAACTATCATCATCCACCATGAGACCATTTTCCCAGATTCTAAAGAATTGGATGGCCCTGTTTATGAGAAATGTATGGCTGGAGATGACTACTGGTGAGTCCAAGAACTTCAGTTCTCTTCCTGCCAAAAAATAAAATGTAAAATAAAATTTTATACACCTACATGTACACACACACACACACACACACACACATAATGTAGAAGCACAGATATCAGCTGAATTATAAAAAGGGATTGGCCATAAGCCACTAATTCTTCCTGTTTAAAAAAAAAAAAGTAAGAAGAAGCAGGACTAACATTTGAGACAAGTGAGAATACACTGGTATTCTGTTATGCAAGCTCATATTCATCACTTTCTTCCCCAAGGATTATGTCTGTTTAGATAAATCTACCCTGCCATGGCTTTTGTGGAGAATAAAGATTTGATCTTATAGAGCTATATTAATTCTTATTATATTAACTCAAGAAAAATGTGATTAGCAGATTTTATTTTCCATTCTTAATCAGTTAGTTTTGATGCCATATAAAATTAAAATTCTCATTCTAAGAGAACCTTATCAACCAAATATATTTTATCCCTATTTTCATTTTAACTTTTATTAATGAATATTACTCTACCAATTATTAACAAATTCATGATATTAACACATTTTAGGAATTAATTTTTTTAATATAGTAGAAGGTCACCTCCCATTGAGCTGTAAAACTGGGAGCAGTATCTTCAAACGCATAATTCCAAAGGTAGAAAACCTTAAAATGTTTATGTAACTAGTTGATAGTTACTATGTGAATTTTAACCCATTTCTGAGAAATCATACATTAAAAGAAGCTTCAATTCCTTGAGTCCATATTATTTGCTGGCCACTCAGTGCACATTATTTCTTTTATTTATCATACACATTCTGCCAAATAAGAAAAGTCGACGAGCCTGCCAGGTGATCAGTAGTAATTGGAGGCAGCCTAGGGTATCTTATTCCTTTTTCTGTTGCTTTGATAGAATACTACAAACTGGGTAATTTATTTTTTAAAAAAATTTACATCTCACAATTCTAGAGTCTGGGAGGTCTAATACCAAGGTGCTGCCATTTGGCAAGTGTCATAACATGGTAGAAAGCTTCAGACTCAAAAGCAAAAGAGCACATGTACTCGGGTCTCCCTTCTTCTTAAAGAGCTATTAATTTCCAACATCCCTCCCCCCATCACCTCATCAAACCCTAGTTACCTCTCCTCTCGTAGGTCCCACCTCCAAATACCTTCAAGATATGACTTAGAGGAATACATTTCTAACACATGACCTTTGGGGGCGCATTCACACCATAGCACTACTATGCCTGATTTCAAAGTCCATGAGTCTTCCCCTCTCAACAGCCTCCCTGTCTACCTCAAAAACAGCTAGGATTTGACAGAAGCAAAATCCTTCAACCCGGACTCTGCTGAGAATACTGTATTCCTCATTTCATTACAGAGGGACAAGTAGCTAAAAGATGAAAAGGATTTTTGTTTTATTTTCATTAGGATGTTTAGAAAACCAAGTGTTTTACATTTCCAGAAATACTGCTTTCCAAATTAACAATGAAACATACTAGATTCCAGTTCTCTAGTGTATCCAGTAACTTTACACATGAAATTCAATTCAGAAATACTTACTTGAGTACTTATCATTTGCAGGTTACTGACTAAAACTTGGCTGTGGCAAGATAAATGAATAAAGCCCTGTCCTGCTGATATACATAACTTTGTTTTCATGGTTATTTATTTTAAGGCCAGTGTCGGATGCATGTTTAGTATTCTCAAGTATCAGAGCTCTGTTGGTAAGCTCTGCTGTCTTACCCATTTTATCAAAGACCAAGTGGATCTCTGGTCAATATTATTTAAAATGTTGTATTCTAGAACATTTTATGGTTGCAACTTTTTCCAAATATGGTAAAAACCTACATGATAGTCTTGCAGCCAGTAATAGCATAACCTCCTGTTCATACATAATGTTTTCTATGTGTATTGCTCATTTTAAACAGAAAATCAATAATATAGTAGTTATCCTTGTCCCCTAACATCAACAATAAAAATGAGCCTCTATTGTAGTGACAGGTTTGTATTTGTGGCCAGTACATTTTATCAGCATATATTTGAGGAGAGATAGTGGTAGTATTAAAGGCTGAGTTCTAAAAGAGGATAAAAATAATGACTCATACAGAAATGAAATGAACACATCAAGAAATACTGGGAAAATGCTATAATCAGTTCAAAAGAAGTCAAAGAACCATCAGCTTATATCTAGTAAAAAAATGATGAATTGAATTTGGAAAAACTTGTCTGTCTGTAGAGTAACAATACTCTACCCACGTTGAACTAATTTGCATTTCTATGGATAAGAATTATTTATAATGCTACATGTTTTCGTTTCTTGGTACCGGGGATGGAACTTGGGATCTTGCACTTTCAAAGCAGGCAGAGGAACCACTGACTTAAATCCCTGGCCCGCTACCAGGGTTTTCTATACATTAACCTCTGTCCTAATAGAATTGTAAAATGACCTAGTCAAAGATTAATGCCTATTCCCATAGAACAGAAAATCAAGGGGAGGTTGTGTAGCATTCTATCCTCGGTACTATCCAGTAACTTTTTTGCCATTAAAAGTCAGGTTTGTCCTTAAAGTAGCAATTGTTTACATTAAAAATCCGCTCCACTTTGGTTGCTTATAAACTTCTACTTCTGCTCAACAGTGACAGCCCATACAGTGAGCACGGTACATTGGAGGAAGTAGACCAGGAGACTGGCACAGAACCCCACACCAGTGAAGATGGTATGACTTATAAAGTTTTATAAAGTTTATATCGCCCTATCCTTTCTTCCTTTTTTAAACAATTCTTTGTGTTAAACAATTTAACAGATGCAAAAGGATGTTTATAAAATATGTGTAAGGTGTAAAGTATTAAATGAACACTTACGGAACTACCACCAAGTTTAAGAAAAAAAATTCCTTTACCTCTGTTGTGTTACAAATCATTGTCTTCTCTACCTGCCTCCAGAGTAACAACTCCATGTTTCTGTTTTTCTCATTTTCTGTCTTTCTGAATTTTGTATAAATGGGTCATACTATATGTATTTTGATGAAATTTTCTATTCAGTACTATATTCCTCAAATTCATTCACATTGTTGCATTCAGTTGTTTGTTAAACTACCACTTAATATCTCTTTGTGTGTATTTCTTCTATTCTTATAAATAGGTGAGGCATTTTCTATTTTCTGCCACCAAGAACAGTGCCTCTATGCACCACTATAAACATTCTGGAATATCTTCTACTGCTTTGTACAGGAATTTTTCTAGAATATACACCCAGGAGTACCTTTGTCTTCAACTTTTCTATGTATTGCTAACTATTTGTGAAAACAGTCATAATGGTATTCACTCAATAGCAATGTATCAGCTTTCCAATTGTACATATTCAGTAACACTTTTCAAATATTTTAACCCTTAAGATTATCAAATATATAATAAGATATAGTGTGATTTTAATTTGTACTTCTCTGACTCCTAATGAAGACCTTCTTTTACAATATAATATATATTATGGTAATGCCAACAGGTTAGAAAATAGCTACCACTAAAGAGATAGTTTATTGGGTTTCCTGAGAGAAAGGAACAAAACCATACTGTAAGAGGCCACGTGGGGAGCCCTTGGGGTCTACTAGGAGGCAGAGAGACAGAAAGGAACTTACTGTGGTTTCTCTGGGAAGGAATAGGTGAGGCAGGGTAAATTGGTTTAGAATTGGATAATTTGAATAATTTCTGTGTGCTCTGTGTACCTTCTCAAATTGTTAGCAAGTGGCCCTGGAGTGATTAGAGGAGGGGACAGCCTAGAGTGTGAGAGCCCAGCAAAGATGGTGGTTAGGGGTGTTGGCTCTTGATTGATTGGTTTGTATTTGGAAAGCTTGTTTAGGGTGAGTTGTTACAATCTCTGGGAATTGGCCAAATAAGAACAGTCCCTCCAGGATCAGCAGGGCCCCAAGGGGATATAGAGAATAAAGGGTATAAGTACAGATGCACACATTTTTATGTTTCACAATCTTTTGTGAAGTTCCTATCAGGCCTCTTGCATATTTTCTTATTGGCTTGTTTTAAGTTCAGTTTGGCTGTGATCTCTCTCTTTCCTGACCTGACTAAAACTTTATTCCTATGAATTAGAACTCCCCACTTCCCTTCCTTCCAGCTTCTGGTGATCACCATACCACCCTTTGATTCTATGAATTTGGCTATTTCAGATACGTCATATAAGTAGAATCATGCAAGATACTGGCCCATTTTACTTACTGGAATGTTCTCCAGTTCCATGCATGTTGTCACTTATTGCAGAACTTACTTCTTTAAAAAGTATGAATAGTATTCTATTGCATGTATCACCTTCCTTTATCCGTCCATCTCTGTAAATTTACATTATTTCCATATCTTGGCTATTTTGAATAGTGCTGCAATTAACATAAGTGTTAATATCTGAGATTCTGTTTACAATCCTATTAGACAGATACACAAACTGCTAGACTAAATTAGTATTTCTATTATTTTTTTCTTTTTGCACTGGCAGGTATCAAACCCAGGATTGTGCATGCTAGGCAAGTGCTTTATCATGAAGCTATATCCCAGCCCTTTTGAAATTTTGAGACAGAGTCTCACTAAGTTGCTGGCTCGCCTTGAGCGTCTGATCCTCCTGTCTCAGCTTCCCAAGTAGCTGGGATATACAAGCATCTTCTACCATGCCCAGCTTATTTTTAACATTCTTAGGAACCCCATTCTGTTTTCCATAGAACCTATACCATTTTACATCTACACCAACAGTGTGCAAGGGTTTCAACTTCTTCACATCCCTGAAACAGCTGTATCTTTTGTTTGTTTTTATAATAGCTATCATAACACATTTGAGGTGATACTGTGTGTGGGTTTTTGCACATCCCTGATGGGTGATGTTTGTTGATTACATTTTCATAGTAGCCACTGGCCATTTGTGTGCCTTCTTTTGTCCCATATGCTCGTATAAATCCTTTAGGGTTTGATTCTCACACACAAGTATTATTACGCCAGGAACTTACTTGGGGGTATAAGGTAAGGTAGGGGTCAGATCCTTTTTCCTCTATATGGATACACAGTTGACCTAACATAAATTATCTTTTCCCCATGGCTCCAAATTTTTGTCATAAATCAAGTGTCCCCTACGTGCCAATATATTCCTGAGCTCTGATCTTTTCTGCTAGTCTACCTGTCTGTCCCTGCACCATCTTAATTTTGATCCCTTTTAATAAATCTGAATAGTTAGCAAAGTAAGACCTTTGACTTTTTTTTTTTTTTTTAATCAGGGATCAAACTCAGGACCTTGTACTTGTGAGCAAGGTGCAGCACCACTAAGCTAAATCTGGACCTGGCTTTTTTTCCCTTTTAACAGTTCTTGCCCTTCTGTAATTACATTTATATTTCAGACTCAGATTTTTTATGGTTTTTTTTCCCTTTGGTGTTTTGTTTGTTTTGTTTTGTTTTGTTTTTCTTTTTATTGAGTTTATTGGTACATTTTAGGTATACAGTACAGTTACATTCATTACTGGGATCCTGTACCTTTACATGACAGGTCTTGGTTCTCATTTTTTCCCCTTGTCCCTGCCCTCCCTTTTCTTTGTTTTTTGTTTCATTTTTTAATCTATCTTCAGTACTGGTGATAGAATCCAGAGACTCATGCATGTTATGTAAGCATTCTGTCACTGAGCTGTGTCCCCAGCCAATTATTATTAAAAAATAATAATTAAAGAACACCCTAAAAACCTGCTGGGGTTTTGACTGTAGTTATGCTAATTTTACATATATCAATATGGAGAGAATTATCTTTACAACATTCAGTCTTTTAGACCATGAACATATTTTCAGTTATTTAATATCTCCCAATTAACTTTCTTTTTTATTTTATTTATTTATTTATTTATGTTTGGTTTTTTGAGACAGGGTCTCACTATGTAGTTGAGACTGACCTGGAACTCATTATGTAGCCCAGGCTGGTCTCAAACTCACAGTGATCCTCCTGCCTCAGCCTCCCAAGTGCTGGGATTACAGGCATGCACCACGACGCCCAGCTCTCCCAACTAACTTTCATACTTTCAGAGGCCATTGTGTTTCTCACTGAGACTATAGCATTAATTATCAACAATTTATTTTAATATAAAACTGTTCACTTTCTTTTACTATCTGTTTAAACTATCAACTGAATTTTTATTTTAATTTGTTTATCTCTGCATATTTCATTTGGTATACATTCACATCTGTTTTTGCTTGGTCTTTATGGTCCCTTTTTCTTTACTCAGAAAATCAATCCTTTGCACCATTTCAGTTTATAGCTTTCATAATTTTAATACATACTCCCAAATTTTTGTTAGCTCTCATTTATTGACTCATTTTCCAATATATATTCTACATTGGTTGCATTTGGGGAGTTCACACTCAACTGAAGATAAGTTCCTCCAGAAAGAGTTTTCATTTACTTCTGCCTGAGGCACCACCAGCCTAGCACAACACTGAACTCTTAGTTTGAAGTTTTCCAGACCAGGTATTTTAAATTTAAACTGTAGAACTGCATAAGGATGGGAATGTGGTTGAAATCTAAGAGATGGTATATTGTAAGGTTTGATAGAGTAATATTTGCTTAAGAAGAAGGGCAAGTGTAAGAGAAGGAGAATGTTATAAGAAATGTTATGAAAAGGTATGGAAGACTAGGGGTATAGGGAAGAGAGTTATAAAGTTCTAGAAGAAAAAGTTTTATAAAAAACTTCTAGGGCCGGGGATTTAGCTCAGCGGTTCGGTGGCCTGCCTTGTGAGCGCAAGGACCCGAGTTCAATCCCCGGTACAAAAATAAAAACTTCTAGAACATTACAGTGAAGTCTGCTGAGACACTGAGAATATGATTTTGGTGGGAATTGAGGATACATAGATTCCCCATCCTAAGCAGTCCCTGGTTGGGGGGTAGTTAATCAGGCTTAGAAATTGCCCTTAAGTCTGACTCATGTGTTCTAATGTTCTCTCACTTCTCTGGGTTCATGATTTCATAAAGTTTTTGGTCTTTAGTACTTCTTATTATCTTGATAACTTATTAATGCAACTGTGATTTTTTTAATATAGCATTTTAGTTGGTTCTAGCAGGGCGTAAATGGAATGTCTCATGTCTATTATCTGCTCAAAAAAAATTTCCTTGTGTCTTTAAAAATAAGATGAATGGACATTTTCTGAATTTATGTTAAAGACATTATTTAAAATGAGAACTTCTACTTTTGAAATGTTTCTGTGCATAATGCTTTCTTTGTTCTCCATATAGTTCATTCCTTTTCTCTGATGACTTCTCCAAGTGTGTATTAGTTACTTTTCCATCACTGGAACAAGAAGCCTGACTTCTGCAACTTAAAGGAGAGATTTATTTTGTCTCAGTTTCAGGGGTTCAGTCCACAGTTGGCGGGCTCCAAGGCAAAAATGGGATTACAGAATGGCATGGCAGAGAAAAGCTATTCACTGCATGCCAGCCAGGAATCAGAGTACAGAGTAGCCGGTGACAAGAAAATGCTCTTCTAGGTCACACCCCCAGTAATCTGCCTCTTCTGACCAGGCTCTTTCTCCAAACAGCATGGTCAACTATGAACTCATCAGTGGACTAATCTGTAACTGTTTGCTTGCTTTCTTCAATGGCAGGAAAAGCCAAAATAAAGCCCCAAACACCAGTCTTCTCACCATGCCATCTCTCCATTGTTTTTATTTCTTGAGTTTTACATGACTTTGATCA